TATTCTCAGACTAACATCCACAGTCCGCACTGGGACCCTCAAGACCCTGGGTGGCCTGGCCTCTGCAGGCCTCTGCCAGCTCATTTCCCCAACTCTGCCCCCTGTTCCCCCAGCTCCAGCCACATCAGTCTTCTCTCTACAGCTCCAAAGCACCAAGCTCATTCCTGCCCCAGGGCCTTTGCACCTGCCTCTCCCTCTCCTTGGCAGATTATACATCATGCAAATGTCACCTTCCCATGAGGGCTGCTCCCTCTAGAGTAACCCCTCCCCACATCTCCTCCCCTGACCACCTCACACTGTATTATTTTCTTCAGCGTATTTATTGACATCTGAATTATTTCATCTTTGGTTTGCTTAAGTATCTGTTACCCATTCTAGACTGTGAGCCTCCTGAGGGTAGGGATCTCATTAATACTGCCTGGCACAGAATAGGAGCCCAGGGGATATTTATGGAAAGAATGGACGGGTGATGTGCCCAAGGTCACATGACAGGTAGACAGCAGAGCCATGATTTGCACCCTGGCCTTTGGCCTCCTAGGGCCAGAAATCTAGGGCTCTGGTAGTGCGAGGGAACCCAGGATGGTGGTGCTGGTACCAGGGGAAAGGAGTCACTAGTGTGTTCATCCTCAGAAGTCTGACTGGTATGATGGCCGGTCTCGCCCTCTTGAAATCAGGGGGGGACAGACTTCAGACAATCACGCCAGCCATGTGGCTGTCATGGCTCTTCTTTTATTTTGAGGCTCGGCTTACAGCCATTTACTACTGAGCATGCACGCACACACCCACACCTCACCCTGGTGCCTGGCCGGTCGGTCCTCCTTGGGGGTAGGCGCGGGGCCACCAGAATCCCAGTCTGCAACTCCACTGGACAAGCACATCACACCAGTTGGCCACGCCTGTGGGTTCCCAGGAGCTCAAGGGCACATGTGGTCGGTGGGACGCAGACAGCTGGATGAGCAAGTGAGAGACACAGGCCCCAGCCCTCTCCACCTCCCTCCAGCTGTGTGACCTTGGACACAGCGCTCCCCTCCTCCAAGGCTCAGTTTCCTCATCTGCAAAAGGAAATCAGGGTGGATTTAAGAATCTCTGAGGACTCTTCCAGCTCTGAAGAGAAAAAAGAAAAGAATTTTTTCGATGCTAGGCATTTATTAAACACCTGCTGTATACCACCACCATGTTTTACTCTCACAGCAAACCTATGGCTACAGCCCTGGGTGCAGAGGGACAGAGGCCTGTCCTCACGGCTGGTGGGTGGCACAGCTGGGGCTTGCACCAGTCTGCCACTTCTCTCCTCCCCAGCTGCCCGAAGTGTTGTCGCTGCCTCAGGCCCCCCTCAATGCCCGCGACCTCGTGCCTGTAAGTTGGGCCGTCTGCCTTCTCCATCTGAAAAGCTTGCTTCTGCGCTGAATCCCTCCAGGGTCGCTGGGGTGGTTTGCCGCCCACAGCTGGAGGTCCTCGGAGCCCCACCAAGGCAAGCCCCACCCTGCAGCCTCGCTGAGCTCAGGGACCCCAAAGTTCAGGGGTCTCCAGGTGCAGTTAGGCCCCACCTGGATGGCCTTGGGCAAGTCGGTCAACCTCTCTGAGCGTCGTCTTCATCATACATAACACAGGAAGGATACTTCTTATCTTCGAGTGACCCTGACATGACTCACTGACAAGAATACAAGAGGGACACTCTAGACCGGACCCTGAACACATAAACAGAGCGACGTGGGGGCTGTGGAGGGCCTCGGGTGCCAGCAAAGGAGCCAGGCTCATCCCAGGCAACGTGAGGTCACCGCAGGAAGTTTCTGAGCAGGGGAGTGATATGATGTGAGGAGTATTTTAGGAAGATTCTTCTGGCAACGCAGTACAGGTTGGCTAGGAGGAGCTGTGTGGAGGAGTGTGGGCGGCGTTTATGCCTGGAAAACACTTGCAAATGAGGCCCCTCTCCCAGCCCTCCAGCATCTGAGGCGATTTGAGAAGCTGAGCGGTGTGCGTGCGTGCGGAGGTCCCTCTTACCCTCTTATCCTACCCACACTGCACTCACGACCCCAGGGCCGTCAGCAGGCTCCAGAGAAACTCAAGCTTCGCTCCTCCTCTGAGCTGCGTCAGCACCTTTGCCATGATAAAGTGCTTTCCTGTGTGTCCCATTTTGTCACGCCCGTCTAGCTCAGAGTGGCAGTGAAAACGGGAAGCTGGGATTTGAACCCAGCTGTAGGATGCCAAAATCCAGTGCCCTTCCACTCAGAGTCAGAGGTGCTCTGGGAGGAAACAGGCCATCCCCGGAAAGCTGTCTGAGCCTCAGACGGGCACCGCCTGCCCCACCTCAGTCCAGGGCAGGATCAGGGGGAGGCTCAGCCTTGCTCAGCCCCAGCCCTCTCCCCCAGGAGGAGCCTGACTGCAGAACTTCCCAGACACAGACAGGGCCTGTTACTTGGTACCAGTCACAAAGAGTCAACCCCAGCTTCACCAGGCCCCGCGAGACAGCAGAGGGAGCTGAAAGCCACAGGCAACCACCACGGAGGAGAGGAGGCCACCGGCCCCACCCCCCGGTCCCTGATCCGTGGTTGCCCTGAAAGGCTCAGGGCGTCTCCCTGTCGGAGAGCTTTCTGGCCCCTGGTACTGGCCATATCGCTCTAGTCCCCACCCGGCGGCTGCCTCGCAGGGCTGATCATCATGCTCCTTCCTGCAACAAATCCTCTTCCATGCTTGCTTTGCGCCAGGCCCTGAACATTCAGATGTGGCCGAGCCTTCAAATAGCCCACAGGCTGGTGGTAGAGGCCAGGAGGGTGCAGGGTGGGAAGGGCTGCATGAGATACAGGCAAACACAGACGATGCAGGAGACGGTGCTGGGGGGTGGGGGAGGGTGCGTTGGGGGGCGGGACTCAGCTTAGCCAGGTGCAGGGGGAGGCAAGGATGAGAAGGGGGATCGCTACTGACAGGGCCAACATACCTCTTGGGGTCAGGACATGCACCTGGTGCTGAGGTGAGTCTTGCCAGGGATAGAAGAGTTAGCCAGCTGACAAGAGGAGGTGAAGGTGCTCTAGGCCAAGGGAGGGCCAGGTGCGCAAGGGCAGAGGCAAGAAAGGACAGGGTATTTCCAGGAAATCGCAGGCGGGTCAGCACGCCTAAGGGAGAGGGTGGGAAGCAGCTTGGAGGGAGCAGCAGAGATCCTTGTCCACTGCATTGAGGAGGTGGGGTTTGTGAGTGCTTTGTGTGCCCTTGGGTGACCTCGGGCAGGTCACTTAACCTCCTGGTGCCTCAGTTTGCTCATCTGTAAAGTGGGGATGTCATCCACCAATAAGTGGGAGGGCTGGGATCTGAACCCCAGCCATCAGCCCGAGCCTGTATTCTAAAGCACTTCGTTGTCTTCCTACTCAGAGAGCAAGTCTCCTGTGCCACCGTGGGTGTTATAGGCAGCAGGACACAGCAGTGAACAGGGCAGATGAGGTTTCTCTCCTCCTGCAGACTTTATGCTAATGGGGGAGACAAGCAATATACACATAAACATATTTAAACAAACAAAATAATTTCAGACAGTGGCAAGTGTTATAAAGGCCATTAAAGAGAGTAATGAGATAGGAACTGACATCCTCGTTTAAACAGAATTTAGAGAGTAAAGGAGGGACAGTCTCTTTGAGGGGGGACATTCAAGCCCGAAAGTGAATACCAAGGAGTCAGCTAAGTAAGAATGGGGCGGGGGTGGGGGGAGACAGTGTTCTAGGTGGAGGCAATAGCAAGTGCAAAGGTCCTGAGGCAGGAACAAGGTTGGCAGCTTGAGAAAGACAGAGTGCCTGTGGCTCAAGTGGAGCAAGGAAGGGGAGAATGGTGGGCAAGGAGGGTAGAGGGAAGAGGGGGCTTAGCTCATGTGGAGCCTTGGAGACCAAGGAAATGGCTTTGGACTTCATTCTAAGTGTGGTGGTTTTATTCTAAACTACTAGAGGGTTTTGAACAGAGGTGTGACATGATCTACTTTGCATTTTTTCAGGATTCCTCTGCATGCTGCAGGGAGACTGTGTTGGTGTGTGTTTTAATGCCAACTAGTATTGCTGTGTAGCTAAAATGACATCCACATTTCAACAGTTTGCTTGTTTGCATAGTGCTGACCTGTCTGTTGTCACCAACCACCTCCTGTTGGGTGTTTGTGGCTCAAAATGATGCTTAGTCATCTAACAGGAGTCACCTTTGAACGAGAAGACGATAGGACTTATCGATTCCATAGGAATGCATGATGGTAGGTTTCAAAGCACTGGACCTCAGTCCGTATCTTCCTAGGGCTATTCCCACGAAGACCTAGAATCTTCCTTAGGCCAAAAAACATCTATGCCTCACTTCAAACGCATAACCTCATGCATGCAGCCAAACTCCATGCTAGATATCGGAGGTGCAAACACAAATAAGACTTGACCTTGAGGGGCTCCCATGCTGACAGGGAGGATAACTCACAAGCAGAGGCTCTGCCCAAGCAAGCACGGGAGTGCCACGCTGGATGGGGACAATGGCCCGGCATGGGAGGCCCCGCATAGAGGCGAGGTGGGCTCGTGGAGGAGAAGTCCTCTGACCTGAGTCCTGACTGGGGTCCAATAGGAGAAGCAGCTTTGGCGCTGCTCTCAGCTGAGTTCCTGCCTTGGTGTTACCACTTCCCAGCTGGGTGGGTCCCAGCAGGTCCCCCAAGCCCTCCCAGACTCCATCCAGCTCCTCCCGGGAGCTCCTCCCCCGGCAGGGTTCTGCCCATCAGAGGACATGACGTGTGTAAAGCATCGAGTACGGTGCTCTGTTCCAAGCAGCCACTCAGTAAACATTAGTCCCCTCCTGCAATATTAATGGAATTGTCCCTTCGGGGGGGCAGCTGACACGGGACCAAGCATGTTCATCCATTTTAGCTTTGGGTGCTGCCCATTTGCCACGGACTCGGGGGCTCCTTGGGGAACGCTCAGTCCATGCAGCAGGACCACAGCCGCTGCATCAAGCTATGTCAGTGGTAAGGCGCACCATGAAGGAAAGACCCGCACTGATGCTGATTAAAATCACTCAGGTTTGCAAGTGATTTTATTTTTTTTAGCAAATTAGAGTGGGTCCAAAGATTTCTGTATAATAATGTCACATTCAGTGACCTAACGCTGGCCAGACTGGGGCCCACGGGGCAAGAGGAAGGCGAGAGGTCTCCCATCCTGCCATCACTTGGGAAGGCTGGAGGAAGGGTTACATTTGGGCTGGGCCTGGAAGGAAGAGCGGCTTGGGATGGAGGGAAAGAGTGAGTCTGGCGGGAGGATGAGTGGGCGGCAGACAGAGGCGGGAAAGCAGCCTCAGGCACAGGGAGCGTCCGGAGGTTCTTTTTGGCTGGAACTTTCTGGATGCGACTGGAATGGGCAGAGCGGCGGTGGCAAAGGTGGGCTCGGCCGTGCCGTAAAGGACCTCGAGTGCCAAGGTCAGGAGTTTAGGCTCCAGCCAACAAGCCGGCATTTCCCGAAGCGCGTTTTTCGGAACACCCCTTCCCTTGATGCTCCCCGTTGAAAGCTTCCATGATCAGATAAGCTCTAGAAATGCTACACTCTGTGTCACCTCTCTGAGAATCATCATCCACCAGAGCACATTAAAGGCCCCAAAACCTCCTGAAGGGAAAAATCTGCTTGACTTCATTTAGCCCAGCAGTCCCCACTCACCTGAGCGAGGGCCTCCTATGCACAGAGCCCCCGTTAATACCTGCACAATCCACTTTGGAAAATGTCAGCAGAGAAAGGGGTGAGCTGCCGACTGTTTTGAGCAGGGTCAGAACTGCGTGGTCAGAGCTGGGCTCGCAAAGGATCTATGAGTCAGCCCCATGCGAGGCATGTGAATGGAGACGGGACCGCGAGAGCTCGGTGGAGGTGGGGAGACACGACTGGGAGGCTCGGTGGTGCAGGGAGGAGCCGGTAAGGCCCAAGGAACCCACGGGCAGGGGGCAGGGAGACAGGAGATGGCTTGGGGCCAGTCATCTGGACTTGGAGCTGGACATCCACACTGACCAGGGCTTTGAACCTGAGGAGCCAGGGAGGTTGCAGAAACCCCACCTGTGATAGCTCTGGTGGGTGATGAATGAGTCTGATTCAGGACGTTTTGTATGAAAGGAGCTGCGAGCAGGCGGCTGTGCCGCTCGAGAGCCATGAACCGGTTTTCTCGTCTCCCTGAAGCTGCCCTCAAGTTAGGGAGCCTGAAAGAGGTCCTATATCCTGTCTTCCTGACTGAGTGCTGAATCAACCCGGGTGTTTTGAGTTGGGATGCCCCTCGGTGAAACACTCCATCGCCATTCACTCTTTCGGTAAACACGTTTCAGGCCCACGCCGGGCAGGCGCCTGCCTGGCCCTGTGCCAAAAGGTGCTTCCGCCCCCTCTCTGACAAGCAGCTGTGCCAAGTTACTGGGCAGGCAAATGAGGGCCACCATGAAGCCTGCACAGAGTCCCAGTGAGCCAGGGACTGACTGTGCCCAGAGGAAGAGACAGGTCTCCTGGTTTGGGAACAATTCTAGGAGGAGGAAGGGCATCCTAGGCAGAGGCCACAGCAGCTCAAAGGTGCAGAGCAGGGCTTGGAGAAGAGAAAACACGTGGCTGGGGTGAGAGCTCATCCCCAGAAGCCACTCTGTGGACTGGGCCTCGGTTTTCCCACCTGGGAAATGGGTATGAGAACGCCCACTGCAAATTCCACAGAGGAAGGGCTGTGGACACTCCCCCTTCCACTTGCCAGACTCTGCCAGGCCCCGTGCCAATTCGGAGGACCACAGGGACGGATGAGCCTGGAGACCAAACTGGGCTCCTTCGTGCCACTGACATAGGATATCTATTTTCCGCCCTCTAGTGCTCGGAAGGCGGTTATTGTTGGAATCAAAGCCAGGGCTGTCCTCCGCTCCCAGGGGCCCGGTTCCAGATGTGCACGTCTGGCAGCCGTGCTTTGGTCCTGGCGAGAGTCTGAGGAGCCGTGGGCTGCTCCAGAAGAGGCAGATGTATTTTGACAAGGCTGCCACAGCTTCTGCAGCATCCTGAGTCAAAATAAGCCCTTCTCTTGGGCAGCCCCTGGGACGGGCTATTTCTGCACCACATTCCTTTTTTCCACATGGGGGGCTGAGCAGCAATGATTCCAGCTAAAAACAGAAGCTGCCTCAGCTGGAGCCCACAGCGTTCCCCTCCACGACAGAGACATCCGCTTGCCGCCTGTCGTGAACTCCAGAAGTCTTTCTTGTGGACTCAAGCTCAGATAATTTCCCCTGAGGGTACAGGCGGTCACGCCCAGGCAACACTCCCGATAACCCTCCCTCGCCAGAGGATCACAAATCATAAAAATAAGTCCTTACGTGTGCGCAAAATGTCACCAATGACAAAGTATTTCCTTGCCCATACAGTGACTTGCTGAGGTGGCTGTGACTGTTCCCGTTTTGAAGATGAGCAGACTGAGGCTCAGAGAGGTGATCTGACCCTGGAGGGGATGAAAGAGAGAAGATCTGAGTCCAAAGCTGTCACACTCTCTAGGTGAAAAGAAAGAGCCTGCAAGAGAGGAAAGGGTATGGAGGCAGAGAGCTGTGGCTGCGAACAGAATTTCTAAATTTGAGCAAGTTGGGATCAAAGGGCAGGAAGGCTCGCTGCCCAGGTACCGGGTACCAGCCAGCGTGAGGAGTCACTTTGACACATAGTGTCTCATTCTAATCTTCCAAAGAGCCCTGGCAAGAGGAAGTCATTATCCGTGTTTTCTAGACGGGGAGACTGAGCCTCAGAGAGACAAAGGCCTTGCTTCCTTGGCGTCGGTGGAGCTGAGGCCAAGGAGAGCTCAGGTGGGAGGGGAAGTGAGGCCGACCCCAGGGAAAGGGGTGCGTTTTCCAGAGCACGGAAGCCTTGGTCCCTCAGCCACTGGCTCCAGGTGGCTTGGCAGGTACCGCTTTCGACAGCAAGTCAAACACAGAAACACGTGGTCCTCTTTTTCGGTTCTTTTACAACACTTCGGTTGCATCCAGGAGGAAGTCTCGGGCTGGTGCCGGGGGATCCTTAACACCTCTCTGATATCAGCCCCCTCCCTTTCAATGACAAGGGTGCTGGCCTGACACCCAGGGCGGGTGTCAGGCCCCCAGAGCGGGGAGCTGGACGTCGGCACGCATTTCCTTTCCGTTGTGTTTATGCGCCTGGTTACCCTCTGTTACAGCAAGTGACACTGGTTTTCTGGTGTGAAGTAGCCAGCCGAGGTTTCCTTTTTAAGTCAACGCAGTGAAGGGTTTTATTTTTGCAAGCGCGTGAAATTAGAGGGCAATGTTAAGTAAATAGCAGAGGTGGTGTGGAGACTGGCAAGGCTGCGGAGGTGTGACTTCGGTGAGCGAGGCGCCCGTGCCTTACCTCTGGGCCCCTCGCCAGCCCCCCGCACGACATCACCACGGTCTGCTGAGGGGACCCCTGAGAAACCTGGCGCTGGCACCTCTTCCCCCATCTCCTGCCAAACGGGCCATGCCCCGGTGCCAGCACGGACCACCACAGGTTTGCAGACAAATGTCTGTCTACTGCCCCCCGAGACCTGCTCGGGGGAGAAAGGGGAGCGGTCCCTCAAAGGTAAAACCAGGAGTACAGACACTGGCCAAAGGAGGCGAGAGTACAAAGCGAGCAACTGTCTCTCACTGATAACCAGGTTCCAACCCTGAGAAGGCCAGAATGGTAAGGCGGAAGATCCGGAACCACACAGCCAGAACTCAGATCCAGCTGTCTTGTACGTGCTGAGCGACCCTGAGCAAACGGCTGCCCTGTTCTGCCCCGTCTCCGCTGCAGAATGGGATCCTCAAGGGGCCCTCTCCCAGGGGTTGTTGCGAGGATGACCCAAGTTCAGGCAGATGACGGGCCGCAGCCGCCTAGGCATGTAGCCTATGCCACATACACAGGGCCCGTGACTCTTTGCCAGGCACTGGCTAGGCAATTTCCAGGTGTTAAGTCAAGGCTGGCGTCAGCACTGCAAAGTGGGCTCAGAGAGGTGCCAATGCCTTGCCGTGGGGTGCTAAGGCCAGAGCCTGGCCACACAGCCAGGAGGTGCTGAGGCCAGAGTAGGAGCCCAGACTCCCCAGCCAGGGCCCTTTCTCCAACACCCCTGAACTCTCCCTCAGCCTCGGCTCCCTCGCCCTGAGGGTTCCCCTCTCTCCTGGATGCTTATCCGCCCCCCTTTGACCTTTGCAACAAAGACTCTCCTCCTTCCAGCAGGGCACAGCCAGGCCTTCAGCTGCTGAGTCAACCTTTTAGCTCTCCTTCAGCCTTTATGCTATCCTCACTGCCTTCCAGCCCGGCCTGGCAGGCTCCCATTAAAGTCACCGGTAAAAACAAGCTCTCTTTTGATTGCACCAGGCAGACCCCTAACTCAAACGGCAGAAGCAAAAGAGCCACATAACCTCCTGAGCCTCAGTTTGCCCTTAAGTATAATGGGGTCATAACAGTACATTCGCATGCAGTTGAGGTAAGGATTCAATAAGGCGATGCGTGTAAAGCCTCAGGGCTGTGCCTGGCAGATAGTAAGTGCTCCTCATTAGTATTATTCCTTGTATCATTGTTAGTATTATTACTACTCTCAGTGGATGATGGTCGGAGACGCTGCCCCAGTCTTCAAAGAACTCACTGTCTTGCAGGGAGAGCCAGGATAAGGCGCGTCCGGGATCACAGGTGCCCTACAATACAGCAGAGCACAAGCGAATTTTGCAGTGTCAGAATGATATAACACTGCAGTCAAACAGGTGTACAATGATCCAGGGCCCCAGTGGGAGTGAAAAACTGCACAATCCATTTGTTCGGCAAACATTTACCAGGTGCCCACCACAGGCCAGGCACTGTGCCAGGCTTCAGTGCTGCAACAATGGGCAAATAGACGTCATCTTTGCCCCTGTGGGACTCCCACCCAGTGGAAGAAATAAACCTGGAACAAATCATTATTGAAGTTCAGTCGAGCTAAGAAGAAAAGTACCTTGGGCCATAAAAATGTCTACCAGGAAACAGAGTTTAGTCTGAAGGTGTAGCCAGAGAAGACTTCCAAGGAAGCAGGGATTAAAGGGGATGAGAGTAGAAGCAGGGAGAGCGGTTGGATGTGACTTGGAGAGGGGACATTTCAAGAGGTATTTGGGGGGCGGGGGGATCCAGCCTTCCTGCCATACAGCAGGGTGATCAAGGTGCAGTCTAGAGTCAAAATGCCTGGGGTCTAATCCCAGCTGTGCCATGAACTGGCTGTGACACCTTAACCAGCAGAAGTCTCTCTGAACCTCAGTTCCCTCATCTGCATAGTGGGCACCATATCAACTACCTCGTTGGATTAAATGTAATAACATACATGGAGTAGTTAGCACGATGCCAGCCAATCCTATTATAGATGCAGGTGATAGAAAAAGCAAGCAAAATGCTTCAAGGGCAAAAAAAGGGTTCTATTACTTCATGTAATTAAAAAATTCAATGGCGGATTCTGGATTTCAGGAAGAGCTTGATCCAGGAGTCATACAATATCCTCAGGGCTCAGTCTCTCTCTGTCTATCAGTTCTGTTTCTCTCTGGCTTGGCTTCTCCCTTATGCAGGCTCCTTCCACACTGTGACCTTCCAGCTCTAGGCTCACACTTTCTTAGTTCAGTAACTCGAACAGAAGAAGAATTTTCCTAACATTTCCAGAATAATTTCCATGACTGAGTCTTACTGGACCATCTCAAGTCACATGTCCAAAGCTTAATCCTAGGCCTGGGTTATGCACCAGTCTGTAGAGCTTAAACAAGGAGAATTGGAGGACTCTATCCAAACCACATGGCCAGAGAATAAGGGGAGGGTGAATCTCCAAAGGAATATTAAGGAGCTGTACAGAAGAAAGGCTACAGGGCAGACTAAGACAAACTTCGTCCACCATAGCAACTACACAGAGACCACAGGGTGACCACACGGCAGCAGGCAGTGACCCACAGAGAGTGCTCAATAATCACTTAGTGTCTCCTCACCCTCCACTCGGCTGCAGAGTGAGTCCCATCTCCCATTCAGACATCCTGATCCCAGAAGAACAGTGAGGCAAGGGCCACACAGCCTGGATGCAAATCTTCCATGGCACCTTCTAGCTGTCTGGCCTTGACAAGATTCATGGCCTCTCTCTGCCTCTTTCCTCCTCTGTGAAATGGGCATAATACTAATTTACTCACTTCATAAGGTTGTTGTGCAACTTAAGCAAGGTAGTGCATACAGGGCGGATAGCACAAAGTAGCTCAGCAAAGTTAGCTCCTGCTCGTACCGTCATTCCACAGGCTCTGGACATCAGGGGTCATGTTGATTCGCCCCTCCCCATTAGTAAAGCCCCTTCCCACTTCTTCCAGAAGATCTACCAAAAGCCAGTGAAAGACCGCATTAGACTTCTCCCTTCCTCTAGGTGAAATGAAACATAAATATGAAACTTTGGTTTGGCAGGAAATCTAAGTAAGTGGCTCCTGCAATCTAGGGGAGCCTGCATCCGGCCCTGAGTTGGAGGGACCCCTTAGAAAGCATCAGAGGCCCCTAGACAGCCCAGGCCCACATCCTCCCTGTGACGGGCCTCCCCCAGGTTACCGGCTCTGTGCAGGTCTGCTTGGGAAGCTGGCTTCTTCCCATGCCCTTCGTTAACAAGGAGCCCAGCAGTGTCCCCTCTCTGTCACGTGTCTGGTCCTACCGGCATCCGCGTGTGTGGACCCCGACCTCCCTCCAAAACATCTAGGACGCAGAACTGATTAGGTAAGGAAAAGAGGGAAAGGAGAACGAGAGAAGGGAAGAAAAGAGGAACCAGTTTCATTAAGCACGGGAGCGTGTTCCACACTCAGCCGGACACCTGTGTACAAGTCCTCATCTAATCTCATCACAGACCTTAGCTACGATCCCCCGCACTCCCAGTGAGGAAACTGAGGCTCAGAGAGGTGAAGTGACCTACCGAAGGTCACCCAGCTAGTGAACGAAGGCGCCTGCCCGCCCAGGCCTGCAGATGCGAGTTGCCGCCACGCTCCGCACTGAGCCAAGCCGGGAATCGCACAGCCCGGCAGCCCAAGTCCAAAGAGAAAGCAGGTTTCCAAGGAGAAGGAGGAGAGGTGTTGGGAACATGCAGTTATTTACAGGGTGCCGTGTGGGCTGTTGCGGGAGGAGGGAGACACGTCCTGAGGTGAGCAGGGAGTGGGAGATGCTGGGTCCTCAGTTTCCTCATCTACAGAACCGAGATGACAACAACAGCCTCCCCGGGAGAGGGAGCCCAAGAAAGCAGAGAGCGCATGCGCAGGGCCCCCGCAGGGCACCGGGAGCGCTACAGGTTCTCAGGGTGCAAGGGGGTGGATCCCGCAGGTGGATCCGGGCCTGAACCCTGGGACTGTGGGCCGCGGTTTCCCTTGAATTGAGGGCGGAACCTGCTCGGATCCTCAACAGAAGCTCGCAATTCTCCAGAAATGGCAATTTGTTAAAAAGACTGTCTGGGCAAATGAGGTCGGAGAACTGGGGACTGGAGATGGGGAGAATTCACCCAGAGACTCACTGTGTGTTGCACCTGCTCCTTAAAACCTCCTGATGGATGGCCCTTATTCCACTTCTATAACATCGGGGCCCCTCCCCCTGGCTGACAAGGACCCGCAGGACCTGGACAGCCCACCTCTCTGACTTCCGGTACTACCACTACCGCTCTGCCCTTCACCTCCCACGCCACCACCACCCCATCCTGGGCTTCACTCTGTCCCAGGAATGGACCAAGTTCTCGCCCAGCTTGGGGGAGTGCCTTTTGGGCCAAACCTTCTGCCCCAGACCTTCACACAGGCCTCTTCCACTCTTTCAGGTCAAGGTCTAATGTCATCTCCAGGAGGCTTTCCCAGGCACCCTACCCCATCTTTCTCTCTCACGTCACCCTGTTTTATTTCTCCAGAGCACTCACCACTCCCTGAATTATCTTTCTATTTATTTGTCAATTGCCAGTCCCCTCCTGCCAGAAACACTGCACAAGGCAGAAACCTCCTCTGTCTTGTTCACTCTGTATTCCGCACCAAGACATGCCTAGCCCAGAGCAGGTGTTCAGGGAACAGTGTTAAAAGAGTGCGTAGATGCTGATCTTTCCAAGGCATGGATGTGATGGTTAATTCTAGCTGCCATTTCCTGCAAGCCTCTGGTGTGCCAGGGCCTGTGCATGCCCTATCTAAGCCCCACAGTGCACCTGGAACATAAGTGGCAATACCCTTTTTTTTTTTGCAAGTGAGGAAACTTAGCTCAGAGAGGGAGATTGGCTTGCCTGAAGTCACACAGTGAGGACCCAGCAAAGTCAGGACAGGAACCTAAAGCTCCTTGCATTCTGCTGTGCCCTGGGAGAGGAGCTTCAAAGAGCAGTATGCCATAAGAGGTGTGGGGACTTATTTGGAAGGAACTTACTGGGATCCCAGAGTGTTCCATGCCAAGGACTGGGAGCTGTTGGCCTGTGGTGGAGGCCAGAGCACATCCACACCTGTCGTAACCCTCTCCCTGAGCACAAGCGGCTCCATGCTTCCTAGCCCCTTGCAATCAGCTGGCCCAAGGCACTAGATCTGGCCAATGAATGGTGAACACAAGTGTCAAGATCAGTGAGAATCCTGGCAGGAAACACGGAACGTTCCATGTGGACCATTTGAGGAGAGCTTCATTAAGGGGCAGGCAGAACTGGCAGATTTCACAAAGGCTAGCACAGTTCTCCAGGGCCAGCATTAGTGCAGAGCCATTACCACCTCTAAGCCTAAAGGACGAGGAGGGAGTGGTTGCCAAGCCTGCAGAGGGGACATGTGTAGGAAGGACCACTGCCAGGAGCAGTGGCCTTCAGCCAAGGGACACTCTGATCTTGTTGTCCTCCTGCCTCCAAACCCTGCTGGGGCCTCCCATTGATAGAACCCAACCAGAAGCCAGAGGACAAAGGGAACCTGTTGATTGGTCCATATAGACCAGCCTCCTGGGCACAGATATGGTGGGGGGAGCAGAGCCAGAGAAGCAAACAGAAGCTAACCTGTAAGATCATCTCCCAGCCGGGGCTGTGGGGAGCTATGTGACACTCCAACTCTCTCTTCCCACCACAGTGACCCTAGAACCTACATGCTGAGATGGTAGCGTCCCAAGATAGCATAGGACCTCCTCCCTCCTCCAACCACAGGCCAGCAGAGTCTGACGGTAACAGTGAGAAAGAAAACAAAACAAAGCAAGAAGCTAAGGAGAGGCTGTTACAAAGAAAAAGGAATCTTTTGGAAAATCTTTAAAAACTGATGACTTAGAATCAGGAAGCCTATCTGGGGCAGTGAGGCTTTGAAATGATGCAATCCAAAGACACCCCAAAGTCACCTTGAGATGGACTGTAGGGCCAAGAATCAGAGATTTTTCAAGTCCATCAAATGGAAAGCAGGTCAGATAAAGGACCGTTGAGATGCTTGATGATCGCAGCTCTGGGAGAGAGCTCAGAGATGAAAAAAAAGATATCTAGAACATCTGAGAGCCTCAGCCTCAGCTGTGACTGAGGAGGACCTCAGGGCAATTCCTGCTCCCAAATTGTCTTTTGGAAGTAGGGGCGCCAAAGGCACTGCTCTGGCGGGCAAATGTTCCAACTCCAGTTGACAAACAAGATGCAGACAAATTGCCAGGAATGGATGGCACCCGCCCAAGAATGCTGATGCCACTCAAGGGTGAAATTGCAGAGCTGTTGGCAAAAATATGTGCATTTTTGAGGGGATGTGGATATATGAATTGGGATCCATGGATATGAAATTTGAGCTTTGGCAAAGCTTTGAGTATGGACCCACAGTGTGAGCCCCTTCTCTCCCTCAAATCAACACGACCGTGGAATCATGCTATACAGGTGAGGAGGCGGCTTAGAGATCAAGAACTGGGACCAGGATGATGAGTTCCTTCTTGGAACATTGAGACTATTAAACGAAGGGTCCTTCCAGAGTCAGGTCCTGCTTGATTAGAAGTTTTGTGAAGGAAGGGACACACAGCTTCAAAGTTACAGTTTCCAGCAGGTTTCTCCTAGGTGGCAGAGACAGAAACCTCATTCAAAAAAACTTAAGTAGAAAGGCAACATTTATTGATCACAAAATGGAAAAGTACAGGAGAAGATGATGCTTAAAGGCACATCAGGAACTGGGCACTCAGACACTGTCATCAGAAATTTGTCTCCTAGCCTCCCCTTGGCTCTGCTCTTCTCTGTGTTGGCATCACCCTCTGGCAGGCTCTCCCTGGGTGACGGCAAAACAGCCCAGCTGCTCAGGCCCACATTCTGCCAGCTCTGCAAATCCTATAGAAGTAGAAAGCATCTTTCCCATTGGTTCTAGCTAAAATCCCAGAGCTGGCTCTCATTGGCTTAGCTTGTGTCACTTGCCTTCCCTGAGCCAATCACTGTGGCCACAACTAATAATGTTCTAATTGGCTGCTATAGGTCTATTGCTCACCCATGGAAGTGGGGCATGGAGTTAACTCCACTCAGACCATAAAGCCTAAGAGTACGGGAGGACAGGGACTCCAAAGAGATACCAAACAGGACAAAAATGTATATCAACACAGCTAATAACACCAAAAATATCCCAATGACAAAATGCCACAGTGATGAGGCCAAAGCATGGAAGGAAATCATGGGATTAGGTGTGTGGACTAAGAATGAAAAAAAGGGGGGGGGGGGCGAGAACAAGTATAAGATTTAAACAAGAATGCCAGAATTATTATTGTGGTCTATACCCCAATAAGGGGACTAAGTCTGGCCCTGAGATGAGGACCTCAAGACTGATGCGGCAGGACAAGCCACTTCAATCCTAAGCAGGTGGGGCAATGTCGTGCACAGATTTTCACCTCTGGAAAGATTTGTTGAGCATTCACAGTGGAGAAGGCCTTGGGTTTGGTGCTGGAGACTCAGGGATGAGCAAGATATGATCCTTGCCCTCAAACAGCTTATGATCCTGTGGGAGAAGACATCCAAGGACATGTAAATTAATAGAGGAATAAATGAACACCGGAGGTGTTGAGTGCTCCACAGCAAATGAGTGCTCTGTAGGAGAGCAGTCATGGTAAACAGGCTGCAAAGGAGGCGGAAGTCAGATCAAGGGAAGCCCTTGTGGGTCTGGACTTGATGCTGTAGGCAATAGTGAGTCATCGAAAGCTTTTGAGCATGGGAGTGACACAAAACAGGATGAAGTCTCATCGTCTTAATGGTGCCAGATAAAGCCCAGAAGAGTCACAGAGCTGATCAAAGGGCTGGCAATAGGCCTGTGGAGGAGACAGATGAGTGAGGACTGGAAAGATGAAGGCTAGTGGGAGCCTTGATCAAAGTCAGGGAGAGGAGCACACGGCTTCCTGATGCCAGACCAAGACAGGGATGGAGCCGCACCATGAAGTCAAAGAGAATGTGGCCTTTGTTCAACTCCCATCAGGAAAGGTGTGTTGTACACATAAAAAAATGTCATTTATATAACTACACCCCAAGAGGGGGTGTAGGCTGGAAATGGGAAATAAATGACTATCAAAGAGGTTCTGGTAGAGTCCCGAGTTACTGGTAGAGTCATAAAGAAAGGCTGAGGGGATGTTCCTTATTCATTCATTAAATGGTCACTTCCTGAGGCCCTGCTTGGAGCCTGGCCCTCCTTTAGGCTCCAAGCCCAGAAACCATGAAGCAGGCATCCCCTTGTCTTATTATGTCACAGCCCTACTGCTTTCTGAAATGACCCAGACCCCCTGTGTTTACTCGATCGGCGTCTGCTTCCCCTGCCAGACAAGAGGGAAATTGGTACATTTGTTCACTGTTTATCCCCAGCACCTAGAGGAGCCTCTGACATGTAGTAGATGTTCAGTCCATATTTGCTGAATGGATGACTCCCTCATCCTCAATGAGTCTCCATCCTCAAAGAGTTCAAAATCTAGGGAGAAACTCAGACAAGGAATCCAACCTTAAGTGTCAAGTTTAGTTTCATTGGTGCTACAGGGTAAAGGTCCACGTGGGAGCAAAGAGGAAACTTCTGCTTCAGTCCTGTTTCCCAGGAGGGATTTCTTTATGCTTTAGCTGAGGCTTTATGGTCAAAGCAGAGGCTTACCAAGAGAACAGAGCAGACAAGGCCATTCCTCAGGGGGCAAACAGCATGGGCAAAGGCTCAGAAACACCAGGTGATGGCACGTCCAGGGATCAACATAGAAGGTGTCTGGAGAGAGAGGTCAGGGTCTGATCACCAAGAGCCTTAAAATCCAATTTAAAGGACTTGAACTCTCTCCTGAAGGCAACGTGAACACATCAAAGGATTTGTGTATCAGTTAAGACCCTTTTGGTTGCACATAAAGAAAAACACCACTCAAAATAGCTTTAACAAGAACAAAAGGGAAGGGTTAGTTATTGGCTCACAAAAATGACAAGACCCAGGAGAGCTGCAGGCACAGCTTGATCCAAGGTATAAACAATGTCACCAGGCTAAGATTTCCCTGCTCTCCTTTTCTTGACTCTGCTGGCTCTAAGTTGATCCCCATTCTAAGGCTCCATGTGGTGGTTCCTGAGAACCTCAGTTCACATCACAGTGGAGCTCAGAGGAGAGTCCATTTCCCTTAGCTCAAGCCAGGTCCCAAAATTGAGTCTCTCTAGCCCTGACTGATCTGATTTTGGTCCTGTGCTTATTGCTGAACTGATCTGGGGGACCAGGGGAACCATATGTGCTGATTGGCTCAGCCCGGGTCATGTGATCCACCCACAGGTTCAAATGAAATACACACGTTGGCTCTTCCAAAGCTGATGCCACATAAGGGAGGAGTGGGTGCTAAGTGGCAAAATAAGCTGTGACCACCATGTGTTTTAAGGAGGGGAATGCCACAGTCCGACCCATGTTTTGGAAAGCTATGATTCTCCTACAGTTCTGGAAGCCAATTAGAAAGTCAATCTCAAGGCAGGAGCAGAGGCAGGAGCAATGGTTAGATAGCTGATCTTAAGAGCTAGGCTGGGGCGCCTGGGTGGCGCAGTCGGTTGAGCGTCCGACTTCAGCCAGGTCACGATCTCGCGGTCCGTGAGTTCGAGCCCTGCGTCAGGCTCTGGGCTGATGGCTCAGAGCCTGGAGCCTGTTTCCGATTCTGTGTCTCCCTCTCTCTCTGCCCCTCCCCCGTTCATGCTCTGTCTCTCTCTGTCCCAAAAATAAATAAACGTTGAAAAAAAAAATTAAAAAAAAAAAAAAAAGAGCTAGGCTGCAGCAAACTGAGCAGAAGTGAGCGGAGGGCTACCACAGAAGGAGATTTCTTATATAAATCCTTAGGGCATAATTCAGGGGTCCTGAGCTACAGCCCCCATCCC